ACAGCGTCAGAATAAGGGCACAGGAGGAGGCAAAAAGCCCAATAGTGGTGAGGGTAGCCCTGAAAAGGGGACCCAGCCCAATTAAGGTGACAGTTCTAGAAGGGTGGTTGACTGATTACCCCTGCAGAGAGGATGCTCAGTAACTTTTGGAGGGCTTCAAGTATGGCTTTAGGATCCCAGCGGTTGGTGAGTGCAGGGCATTTTTTCTGCAAAACCTCAAATCGGTGTATGGGATGGAAGGTGTTGTCCAGAATAAGATTGCAAGGGAAGTAAAGGAAGGTAGAATATTGGGGCCCTTTGCAGCAGCTCCTTTGGTGAATTTGAGGGTTTTGCCCTTGGGCATAGTGCCAAAAAAGGCCAAGGGTGAGTTTAGGTTAATACACCACTTGTCTTATCCAGAGGGAGTGCCAGTCAGTGATGCCATCCCTCAGAGCTTTGTACCATGTGATGCACCTCCTTTGATGAGGTGGTTCACATGGTAAGAAAATGTGGTGTGGGGACAGAGCTGGCAAAATGTGATGTAAAATCAGCATTCCGGATTTTGCCAGTCCACCCACAGGACTTTGATCTGTTAGGATTTCATTTTCAGGGATGCTTTTACGTTGATAGAGCTTTACCTATGGGCTCCTCGGTGTCATGCATTGCATTTGAATGTTTCCACTCATCTATAGAGTGGAAGCTGAGGAGTAGGGCATGCTGTAAGTCTATGGCCCAATATCTACATGATTACCTTTTTTGTGGAGAAAGGAATACAGGAAAGTGTAAATTTATTTAAAGTGTAAATTCACTTTATTATAGTTGAAACACCTTTCAACTAATGGCAGAGGAGCTGCGTTTACCCCTGGCTGAGACAAAAATGGAGGGACCAGCCACGTCCCTTACTTTCCTAGGCATTGAGCTAGATGTATTGTGCAACAGAAGCTTCCGGAGAGCAAATTAGTTGACCTTATGATTCAGATAGCTGCACTGTTGCAGAAAAGAAAGCTCCAGGAGATTGTGGGACACTTAAACTTTGCTTGTAGAGTGGTGGCACCTGGGTGTGCATTTTTGCACTGCCTTTGCAACTCCATGAAGGGCCTGCAACACCCCTTCCATAGGACTAGGGTCACACATAGTATGTGGGATGATTTACAGGTTTGGAGTCAGTTTATGACAGGGTTCAACGGGATTTCCTTTTGGAGAGGCAAAATAGGGCTGAAAGTGGACTTCCAGGTACATTCAGACGCGGCCGGATCTTTGGGGTTTGGAATCTATTTTAGAGGCAGATGTTGTGCCATTACATGGCCAGAAGAATGGCATTACCAAGGATTTAACATTACTAGAATTTTTTCCAATTGTGGGGGCGCTGTGGCTATGGGCAGAAGAGTGTTCAAACTCTGTGGTGTGATTTTGGTGCGACAGTCGGGCAGTTGTTATATCATAAAGTAGACATGGTCTAGAGGGGCGGGGTATAAATTAAATAAATAAAATATTTAAAATATTTTTAAAAATCAATTAAAAACACTGATGTTTCGGCAGGCCTTCCCCTCAGCCAATCCCTGATCTTCCCTCT